AGGTACTTATATTGCTGTATATATATTTATATAATTATTTTTGAAAAGCTCCTCTGTGGGAAAGATAATAAATTTCTAATCTAATCTAACTGCTAACCTGCCAACATACCACAGTATTTGTGAACTAGCCTTCACTCAGGTGAATAGTTAAATTGAACTCCCCTCACCCCTTTAATGGTTTTAATATCATGTAAATATGCTAAACCCGGTGAAACAGGGCTGGTAGGTTTGCTGAATAATTAGGCCAAACACAGTCACACTAAGCCTTTTGTTTTCTTTGTTTCTAAACGGCACTAATGATAATTTGGCCTATTTATCATCATATCTAACCTACCAACACTGTGGTGAAAAGCAGTTGGCATGTGACAACCTTTTTCTAATATAGTACTGTATATGCTTACTTGTGTTACACTTACTGACATCCATGATTTGATAAATGCAGGAATTTGTGTGTCTGCATATAGTGCCGCAGCAAGCTCGATAATTGCGTGGGGGGGGGGCTCATATTCATGCATATACTCGTGTTCTGCGTTATTAATTTCTTTTGAAATCGATTGTTTTTTTGGTCTGTGAACATGAATATATGAATATGAGCTATCCCCCCCCCCCAATATTCTCTAATTATATGTATCTTCCTTGTTCATGCTCAAATAAAATTGCTCTTGACATATATCACTTTAAAATATAGTAACTCTTGATTGGCATGTACATCACATAAGACCCAATAATGCCCCTATACGCAAAACAAGCCCTCTTTGTCTCATCCTTGGCAGGGACATGCCTGCTTTTACTCTGTCTAACATCAGACAATTTTACTATTCAGTGGGAGAGTGCAGACAATGAGTTAATCTAAAGCTTACCAAATGTATTCATTGTTGTAAACTTGTCACAGCTTACAGTTAATATATAGCCACCATTGGAAGGCTATTACCAGGGTCGTTGCTGTGTAATATAACAATAGCAAAACACTAGCTATAACTGGGACGTTTCCTCAGTGACTGATTGTTACAGAGAAATTTGCCTTACAAAGTGGCTTTTATCCATGCAAATATTTTGCCTGTGAACTTGGCAAGCAAAATGGAATGTAATGCCTCCATTGGTTAACAAATCCAAGCCCAAATGTTATTAAGGCAGGTCTTGATATTCTGTTGCATCACATAAACCGTCACTTGGAAATCTATTAGATTCCTATTAAATTCCAGTTGTCCTTTCCCTTATGTCTAGGCACCTCACACCCATATATTAAAAGTTAAAACAGGGCTATTGATTTAATTAAGAAAGCGTTTGCTATTTTTGCCACATCTGAGACACTCAAGTTTGAAAACTTTGTCTTTGTCCAAGGCCAAGGGATAAATTGAACAGAGTATTCCGGAATAAGAAAACTTTTATTAACGATCTTCCTTCCATACAAGCGTATTAAAACAATGTTACAAGACAAGAAGTATAAATAGTATATTACCACAGTCACACATATGTCAACTTATTTTTCACCCTGCTCGGTTTCCTTTGTTCTTGTCGGGGAATATATTCAATATTCCCCTCTAATCAATTTCCGTTTAATAATCCCCTCTAATATTCACCTGCAATTAATAATCCCCTCTAATATTCACCTGCATGCAATGTCTTTGCAGCACAAAAAATGAGAAAAAACAACATCACGAAGGCAAAATGGCATTAGGAATGATTTCTTTCTGATTCTTTAACGCGACCTCGCAGTGTGAAAAATAAGTACGTTATTTTGAGGCACCTCGGGGATATGTGTTTATTCACCTCGGCGCTGCGCGCCTCAGTGAATAAATCACATATCCCCTCGTTGCCTCAAAATAACCTATACATATTGAACATATATTGACAATTTTCGCTCGTTCCTTTTCGTGTTATAGTTTTGACTAAATCACTGCACTTTCCGCTTATTATCATATAAAATGTAGTCGACAATTTGAGTAGAAATATATATATATATATATCAACGATAAATTTTCACTTAAAACCCTGTCTTGACATGAATCGACGGCAACGTGAATATTTGACTGCTCTGGAAAATCACTCGTTGTCTCTAAATAATCAAATTAAATCGCCGTTTCGGGTGACGACAACGTTATCAGCTCCTTATTCAAAGTTCTCTGTGTATATACAATATTAAAAAGACTCCTTGCCGCAAGCTTTTCCTACTCCCCCTAAGTTTGAGTTTGTCGAAATTTGCATGCGCTAGCCGGTATGCGCAGTGCAAATTTTTGTGTCGATTTATGGCAGGCATCTCACCAAACTTTTTCTCACCACCCGATTCCTCAGTGAGATGCCTGCGGAGGAGGCTAGAATGTACAGTATAGCCAATAAAAGTACGTATCTTTTTCATGCGGCACGTGATATTTGCCGTCATTTTGAAATTTAACTAGAAAAGTAAAGCTTAGCAATTTACTTTATGTTTGTGACAAGCGTATAGAGCTGAACTAATCGCCACGATTAGCTCAGTCAAATACTCTCGCGTGCGGCAGGCTTAAGACAATTGAAACGTGCTAAGCTACCATCCGATCTGCTGAAAATAGAACTGCTAAAAAACATCTGCTGAAAACAGAACAACAATAATCCATATTTTCAAACAAAATATTAATCTTTGGCTCTGTTACCAATGTTAATGTATGGGTCACACCTCCTGTATCCAGCATGCACTTTTGCAAATAGTTTTTTTTTTGTTTCTACTTATTATATACTCGACTTGTAAATATTAATATTTTGTATATAAATTGACGACGCCCGGCCCTCATCAAAACCAACTTATGTTGATGAGGCTAGCGTGATGCAATAAATTTTTATGATACGATAATCGTTTAGTCTTGTTCTACATGATTCACTTGTATTCGCCCAGTTATTGAGTATGTGTGTGCAGTATTTCGTGACTTGCTGCCGCAGTATCTGTCTGATAATCTTGGAAATCGTCACTCGTCAGAAACGTGGTTCTCCTATAATTTTTCCTTTGTCAGCATTATAAAAAATCTTGGAAACCATGAACATTTCCAGACTGCAGTTTTAATTTGCTCGGCGAATATTTTTTCCTTAGGAAAAATGCGAAAAAATTGTCAGATATTTTCACAGAAAATTTATGGCAGACCAAAGTATCCTGCAGTCCGAAAGGGTTTTTGTCTTTAAAATTTTCAAAATTTTGCGTAGATTTCCATAATTGCAAGCAGTTTTTGCGGAGGAAATTAATTTCCTCTAAAGCCAAAACTTTAAAGTCTGGGAACATTTTGTCACCATACGAGCGAAGACAAAACTTGACAACTTTCCGAAGGGAATAGCCAATACCGCTTACAGAACATCACTGATTCTTTCGGGTCTTTGATAAACCTTTCCCCTGGTCTCGGGGATATTTAATTACTATCTAGTATCTACCCTAAATACCATGCGATTAAAGGGATATGGCAATATAAATTAAATTTGTCTTATTTGAAAGAACATTTAAAATGATATATAAACTTCCTTTACAATTATTCAGCATCTTGCTTGGTTTTCGAAATAAATCGACTTATTTTGATCAAAAGCAGCGTGTATTCCGCCATCTTGGATATGCATTCGATGTGCATACGTCACAAGTAGGGTAAAAAGGGAAATTTTTATGTCATTATTTTTTACCACATGTCATTATCAAAATGAAACTCGATTTTTCGAAGTCTTTTTAGTACTCAATTAACTCACAACATTTTAAAAAAACTTTTCGAAGAAATTTAGTCACATGAAGAAGTTTTATCATGCAAGTTTACCTTGCTTGTGACGTTATCAAAAACTCAGTTCATTACGTCAATTATAATACCAAGATGGCCGACTGCACACTGTTTTTGGTCAAAATATTTCGAAAAACCAAGCAACTGAAGGTACGAAAAAGTTGTAAGTTTTCATATATAACTTTAAAGAGTTTTCATATATAACTTTAAAGTTCTTTCAAATAGACTAAGATAAAGTTAATTTTTGTTGCGATACCCTTAATTGCCATACCCTTTAAGAAATTAGGACTTTATACATAAAGCCTGGCGCAACATAATTGCTGTGGCTCTTGGCTTCATTGGGATGTATTGGATATGGACCGCTGAACAAAACTTGAAAATGTGGGAAAACATTTGTTTCATGATGGCATTTTTTCTTTTTTGTTATAAACTGACAACTGGCATTCTGTTAGGGTATATGCTTTAGTGAAGAAGACTGCATGTGTTGGCAACTCTGATTTAGGCTTTGTAGTGGGGAATTTGAGAATTTTACTTATTAAAGCACTATGTTGACAAAAAATCCTAAATTACAAGATCACTGTTAACAAAAAGAAACTATACACTTAGAACACTTGCAAAAAAGTATATATATTTAACGAGAAATATAAGATTTTCGTAGCCGAGGAGTTTTTAACGCTCGAACATTACGAAAATGCGCATATTTACGCCAATAGCTCAACTTCAAAATTCTTAACTCAAAACCGGCTTGAAAATTGGGAATTTTTAGTCTCTCATAGTAATTTAATAGGAAACTTTTAAATTCTTAATTTTTTGGCTATATAGTCTTGTTGACCAAAGTTTAGGCTATAAGAGAATGCCAGTTGGCAGCTTGTAACAAAAAATGCCGCCAGAGTGCGACATTCAGAAAGTTGGCAGGTCGTCTAGTATACATCCTGATGAAGAACAAAGAAAACCGACTCGACTATGAAATAATTTCTTTTGGAAACTCGCATGTAATTATATAACTATGACAAAAAAATTTATTCTCTAGTATTATTACAAAACGCCTGTTGAAAGACAGCGTGAAACATGACTGATTTGCACTGGTTGAAACTAAGTCGGCAAATACAACCACAAAACAGTGCATTATAAAAGTTCAAATTATAGCGGGCATGTTCTCTACCAGAAATGCTGATGTTAATTGGTTATTAAAATTACCCTGTTGCTTAATCGTGTTCTTTTATAAATTAGTTCACTCGAAGCACGAGTTCATGTTACTAGCTCGATAGATGATCCGCAAACTTACAATTGACTTCGTATCAATTCCATTTGGCGAGAACTGTCGCTTGTCAATTCGCACTCCTGTCCAAAAAGATTTGACCTGATATCAAGTGCCTGTTGACATGACTTCAGCGCAGAATCATAATCTTGCATTTCGTACTGTGATTGCGCAATCTCGAAGTAGCATCTAGCGGAGGCTGGGTGCTCCTTTCCATACAGCTCCACTCTAATATCCAGGGCTTGCTGGTGCCAATCAACAGCTAAATCGTACTCATTCAAGCAATGCTTTATCACTCCAATTTGATAACAAGCGAAGGAAACCTTTGAGTGGACATTCCCATAAAGATTTTGTCTGATAGCAAGTACTTTCTTGGACGATTGCAGTGCTAACTCGTAATCTTTTTTCTCAAATTGGTTACGTCCAATCTCGTGATAGCTGTCGGCAGTATCTGCATGGTCGAGCCCATAAAGCTTCCATCTGATCTCTAGTGCTTGGTCATGATATCTCAAAGCAGCATCATAATTCTTCTGTTTACATAAAATTAATCCAATGTTATGGTATCTTTGGGCTGTATCCGGGTTTAGCCCACCATATTCTTTTATATTATTATCAAGAGCGAGCTGCATCGCTGCCGGACTTTCTTGCTCTATTTTTACCTCAGCCAGGGTGTTTTCAACGATGAAGCGTAGTGGTAAGTATAGACGGTCGTTCCTTGCTTCGGCTTCGACTTCTTTCTGCAACTGTGAAATTGGCAAACCAAGTTTAGAGATTACCTCCTTCATGTCATAGACATACGCAATAGAGTTGATGAGAATAGCAAGCGCCGTAATGAGTGGTTGACTGAAACCTTTTGGGTTTTCATTCTCTTTTTCGTCAGCACAATCGCCTTCTTCTATAGCTTTGAAGAAAGCATACAAGGATGGTCTGTTAGCGCATTCAGTTAAAACCATGTTCTGGTAGTAGGAAGACTTTTCTGTATGAGCAGTAATCAAAGCAAGAATGTGGGAGCATAAAATCTTAAGTACAGTATTTTCAGAACTCAACCGGGATATCCCTGTTTCAAGAATTTCGCCTCCTTTCGCTGTCGCTCTATATCTTAGTAAGTGAATACCATCGTAACACATTCGTTTTCCCTTGGCAACTTCTGCAATAAGAAGAGGATTTTGCTTCTCTATTTCTTCGGCCTCTTTTAGTAATGCCAATGTAGCCCCATAATCACAGGTTATTTCACCAAAAGCTTTACCAATTAGCAGTTGGTGGACAGCTTTAAATTTACGCTGCTCTTTTGCCTTAGCTATTGCTAATTTATAAATTTCGTAAAACCTCCAGGGATGCTCAAAGTAGAAAATGGTGTCCAAAAACAGATCCGCATCGGAAAGAACATCAAAAATTGCGTCGCAGACAGCCTCATTTTGAAGACCTTCGGAGAGGCTACGCACCACATTTTCTTTGTTAAATTCGAAATCGTGAAATGCGAGCAGAGAATTTCCAGCGAGAAACTGGTTGTTTAAATTTTCAAACAACTTGACGTAATAAATGAGGAATCGCCTTTGTGCTTCGAGAGCAATTTCTTTCATGTCATCTGCTTTTTCGGAACCAAACGACTTGATGAGAGGATGAAAAGAAAACAGCACTGGTTGGGAGGAATTTCCTTCAACCAAATATTTTCTCTTGAGCCTCAACAATGTTTTCTTTGCTGTATCTTCATCTCCTCCAATGACGTTTACTGCAGCTTGCTCGTCGAACACTTCACTGACAAAAACTGAAAGACAAACAAATGCTTCTTGCTCTTCTCGAGATAGTCTTTTGAAATAAGACTCGAACAAGACTTTTAAACGTTGATCGTTAGGTGCATCTGGATCGTCTAACAACACTACTATCGTTTTTGAAGAGCAGCTAAAGTGGTCAAGGAATTGAGATGCACTCTTCTTCTCGTCAACGATTTGACCGCACAAAAGCTTGATAGCGAGCGGAACGTTTCCACAAATCTCAGCCACTCTGCAGCATTCACTTTCATTAGCAGGAGGGACAAGTTCTTCAACAAGCATTTGTGCCGAATTCCTGTCTAGCGATGCAACATCGACAGAAGTGTGACCAGCAAATTTTCTTCTCAGCACCGATTGAAGACTCATCCTTGTGGTCAATAGAAAGGACACATTCTCGCAATGAGAGAAGATCTTTTCCAGAAGGTCTAAAACATCTTGGCTCGTTTCACCACCAGTCTGGAACAGGTCGTCGGCGTTATCGAGGACGATGCAGATATTAGAAGGAATTGCACTGAGGAGTTTGTATTGTTTTGAACGCTCTTGCCCCGTTACATCAGATGCATGCTCAAAGGTGTTTAAGAGGTCAGAGATCAGCTCTTCTGCTGTCTTGATTCTTCTCAAGGAAAGGAAATAAACTTGTCGTTCGAGCTGTCTAAGTCGGTGTCCTACTGCAATAGCCAATGAGGTTTTACCAAAACCAGGGGGTCCAGATACAGAGACTAGCCGAGCAGATGTGGGCGACAGCACACGTAAAATATCTTCACACTCTTGTTGTCGACCAATGAAATGGGGCACCATGGGAGGAAGGCAGGGCTTGGGCACGGACTTGTCAAACACTGTGGACAAATATAGAAAATAGTGTTAAACTGTTGGCTTTATTTGGTAAACTAAGGGCGAAAAAAAAACAAAATACAGTGTAGCACCAGCTTGTGTTTAGCAGTTACAAAAAAGGTACATAGCCCACTACACTTTCGCTTGAAATTTCTATCTACAAAAAACGCTTCAACTTTTAGTTTTATCCACCGGCAGAGGATATCTCAAGCTTCATTGCGTAATAGGCAACTTGCATGTTTTCCAAAGCATCATGGGAAAAATGGTAACCTTCACTTGCGCGCGAAATGGCCGCCGTGGAGCGAGCATTTTGCATGTGAGAAATATAGTTTATTTTTAACACTTTTTTCGTAACGTTTGAAAATTTTAAAACAAGGGAGAACTTTGTAATGCTATAAAGTTTGTTTTGACTCAAGTACAGCGAAATCGAACCGAAAATGGACGAGAAAATTCCTGTAGAAGAACTGAGGAGCGAACAGTGTGCTCATATTGCGTTATAGGCGACAGACGTGAACGCGACAGAGCTCCGCAAAATATGGCCTTAAACTCAACAAATCAAACTTATGATCTGTTTGATGTTAAAAAAAACAAATTATTATGGCAAGGAGATCTTTCTCAATTAAAGACATTCGTTGCGAATGAAGTGAATCAAAGAGATGCTGAAAATGCGATATGGCGATCGCCGAGTGGAGGCACATGGTGCTTTAAAGGCGAAGGCGATGATCTGTTAGTAACGTGGCACAGCAAAAGCAAAACGATCTCTTTTGACGGTAAAGCGGCTGATGAAATTAAAGAACGAATTCACGAAGCTATAAGCAATAAATATACAGATTTGACAAATGTCGAAGTCGCATATGTAGAAGCCACCAATGTTCAAGCCGCAAAGGTCGAAGCTACAAATGTCGAAGCCACAAATGTCGAGGCTACAAACGACGAAGCCACAGTTATCGAAGCCAGAGATAATACTAACGCTATCGAATTGGTCAATACCAGTGATTCTACCTTACTGCCTAATGATTTATGCGGTAAGTGGTCTGATCTAGCCGACAAGGTCGAACTCCTCGAAGATCGAATGAATAATAACTTTATGGATATCGCAAAATCAATAAACAGTTTGAAAGCAAAGGAAGGATTAAATACGGAGTTCTCCCGTGAATATGTTGATAGTATTGTGCGGGAAAATGTAAAATTCAGACAGGATAATGAAAATTTAAGGAAGCGTTCTGAAAATCTTTCGTATATTATATCAGATCTAAACACTAAAGCTAAAATATTTGAAAATGAGAAAGAATCCCTGATTACAGCTTTGGGAATATTACAATCAGATCTAAATGAGAAATATAAAGGGGCTGATTGGCAAACTGTCAAAGGTTCTGTTATAAAAAACGGTAGCTGTAAACAGATGTCCGCATCTAGTATAGATGCTGATATCAATCCGAATGTCGAGATAAGCAACAGATTTGAAAGTCTAATTTACGAAGGCGATGAAGAATATGATGATCAAGAAATTCCTAACACGACAAAAACAAAAGAGAAATTAAGCCTTCAACAAAAGGGCTATGGTAAGAATCAAATGAGCGACTCTGATGACAAAGCTGCTCAATCGAAAGCCAACAAGCAGAGGTCACGAATAAGAAACAAAAGGTGAAGAATAACGAACAAAAGGCAAAGGAAAACGAGCAAACAAGAGAAGCGCATAAGGCAAGTGAGGAAATAACAGCAGAAAGACAACGCACTAAAGAAACGGTCGTTATAGCTGGAGATTCGATTATAAAATATGTAAAAGGTTGGGAAGTATCCAACACTGACAGTAACGTAATAGTTAAGTCTTTCTCAGGTGCAACAATTAATGATATGTCTGATTTCTTAAAGCCCACTGCACGAAAGCAACCCGATAAGCTCATTATCCATGCAGGCACAAACGACATACGCTATTCAAGTCCTAAAGAAATTGCAAAGAAAATTATCGAGTTAGCAGAGAATTTTAAAAAGGATTGCAATGATACTGAAGTCATCATCTCTTCTTTAGTCACTAGATGCGATAGAGAGGAACTTACAACGAAGGTAAATGAGACCAACAATATATTAAAGTCAAGCTGCTTGAAAAAAAAGCTTGCATTCTTAGACAATAGTAATATTAGTCGCTCTCATTTAAATAGTAGAGGACTGCATTTAAACCGAGAAGGTAGCTCTTTGCTTCAGGCAAACTTTTCATATTTCTTACGTTCGCATAATTGAAATGAGGACGGGTCGAGGAGGAGTGCTAATGATGCCTGTTTAAATATTCCGAAAACAAGGGGTCTTAAGATGGCTATGCTTAATGTAGTTAGCCTTCCGAAACACCTTGATGAAATCCGATTATTACTTCACGATAAATATTTAGATGTTTTAGCAGTTAATGAAACCCGTTTGAACTCCACTATTTCCGATGGGATTGTTAGCATTGAAGGTTATGACTTGCTACGTGCTGATCGGAATAGAAATGGAGGAGGGGTATGTATTTATATAAGACGCCATATAAATTATGAAAATCGCCCTGATCTAGTTCCAACAGGCCTTGAAGCTGTCTGTGTGGAAATTAAGCAGGCTAATAGTCAATCTTTTATAGTTTCAAGTGTTTATAGACCACCATGTTCCGCTAGTGAAGTGTTTATAAAAATTAAGAGGCTAATCAAATCAATTGATGCTGAAAATATAGAATTTTATATTTTGGGAGATTTAAATTGTAATATGCTAGAACCAACTTAGTCCACCACTAGAAAGCTTCAGGACGTTTTGGAATTATATCAGCTTACACAATTAATTAATAACCCTACGCGTATTACCCAGTCTAGCCAATCATTATTGGATGTAGTAATTGCGTCAATGCCTGAAAAAAAATTTTTTTCAGGTGTAGTCCATCTCGGAATTAGTGATCACAGCCTCATTTATAGTATTCGCAAAATAAGTACAAGAATAAAAACTGATTTACAAGGTTCTGTCGAGTATAGAAATTTTAAGAATTTCAATGTTTCAGGCTTTCTATATGACTTGCAAAATATACCTTGGGAAGAAATAAGATTTAAAAGAAATGTAGATGAAATATGGCGGTTATGGAAAACATTTTTTGTAGATGTGCTTGATAAACATGCCCCTGTGAGAGTAAAAAGATTAAGAAAAGGGGGCAATATTCCTTGGGTAAGCCGGGAAGTAAAGGAAAAATTATTTAAAAGAGATGCTCTTAAGCGTAAAAGCAATAAAGACAAAAAAAGAAGAAGACTGGAGACTATATAAGTCAACTAGAAATGTTGCCAACACTGCTTTGCGTAGTGCTAAAAGAGATTATTATGCAAACAAATTTACAAATAATAAACAGAATCCTAAATATACTTGGAGAACAATAAACGATATATTAGGTCAAAACAGAAAACAGACTACGATTAATGAAATTAAACTTCCAGGTAAAACTGTTACATCGACCGACGAATTAGTCGACATTTTTAATGATCATTTTAGTAATATTGGCCCAAAGCTTGCTGAGTCTATTCCAAATGACAATGACGTTAGTTTTCGAGATTTTATTACTCAACAAAAATCTAAGACAAAGAACAGTTTCTCATTTCGAACAGTGAGTGTAACAATGTGTAAGCTATAAGAAAATACCAGTTGACAGCTTGTAACAAAAAATGCCATCAGAGTGTACATTTCAGAATGTTGGCCGGTCGTCTATTTGGTATATTGAAGGACTTTTGCAGTACCCTGTACAATACAGCGGCAAAATGTCAACACAAGTCACCCCACGAAATAATGAGTCAGTAATTGACATGGAACGCGTTATAAACACGTACAATCGCGCGAGATGCGTAAGCAAGACGCCATGCACGTCAGGAGATATATGTCAGGCCTATTCACTAATATTCGGCTCTGCTCATATAGCATAACGTTTTGTTTTCGCGATTCTAATATATCCAGCGACCTTAAAGGATAATGACCTTGGGTTCCAGGGATTAAATTATCCATGGACGATTATCCTAAATCCAATAGCAGGATATTAGCTTATTTCCAGGTAGTAGATGGAATAAGTTTCTTAAACTACAATTTGTACATTGTTAAACTACAATTTCAAAATATTGTTACACAGATGACTCTGTGAATGCAGTAGTTGTCTGTATAATAAAACAGTTGCTCTGCTCCCTCTCATCGTATATGGCTGATAGCCAACTCGATGCTACGCACCTCGTCGGCTATCAGCTCATATACGACTCGAGTTCGCAGAATAACTGTTAAGTTTACGATCCTGCATGATATTTGAACATGAAGAGTTATGCATTTTTAACATTCAAAATAGATCACTAATCTTTGTATTCTTGCAAAAGCCCAATTTGATGATGCTCTGCCTGCCGCTACAAACGGTTTGAAGAGCTGTCGACGACGACACACTGACAACATAGACGAAAAGCATCTGTATAGTGAAACCACTTAATTATATTAGGAGCAACTCCGAGTGACAATCGATATTGGAGAATCAGCGAAACATTTTACTTGCCCGCGGCTAGGAATCGTTCCCGAGATCGTCCGTTTTCTATAGTCCGATATACTTTCCGGTCAACTGATGATCACAGGTCTAGACTGTGCCACAGTCCCTTTTTGGGAGTTGGGGAGAGGCTGAGGGAATCATAGAAATGGGGTTACATGCTTGTCGTGCGGCGGGAGGCCGGGGGAACGGGGGAGGAGGTGGGACAAAATGGACTGTGGACGTTCTATTCATAACTGCGTACACACTTCAGGAAAATCACTTCCTAAGGTAAAGTATTACATAAACAACATACCTGTGGTCTCTTTTGTCTGTGTTAATTTTTTATTAATGCTTTTCACCTCATGTTCCACTCCACTTATTTTACATTTGATTTCACGCACTTCATCTTGTAGTTCTTTATAATTATGAAAGTGTAAA